ATATATTAATACAAAGGAAGAATAATATAACAGAATCTATATTTTCTACATCTAGGGGTTAAAAAATATTTTAGGAATATTAAATTGTGATTAAACATTTCAGAAATATTCAAAATATACGTATAACATTTTGCTACAAATACTTTGAAAGAAAGAAGACTCCAGGGGGAAAGCTATGAATTCATGATGACCATCCGCCAGTGAGATCCAATCAGACGTTTAGATCTAAAATAATACACCAATAGCAATGAGCACTCGCTCTATGAGTTCGCTGAACGTGACCATTATCTGCGTTTAGCGGACTCAACAGTTGAGTGAGCGCTCGATGTTATTGGTGTATTCTTTTAGATCATCCAATCAGCATTTTAGATCTGGAAGAATACATCAATAGCAGCGAGTACTCACTCAACTGTTGAGTCCGCTGAACGCAGCCATCGTGTTCACTCTCAAATCTTACTCCAATGACGAGATCTTAGCGAAAAATGTTTTATTTTCGAGCGATGGAACACAACGACACGATGAACGAGCTCGAGTGGAACAATAGCCCAGCAACCTGCGACAAAGATAAATCGGTACAAAGAGCGACATGGATCTTCAAGTCTACCCAACGCGAGCACGAGATCAAGCTGCGGATGCTGCACATCGAACTGGAGCGCGCAGAGTTACAGAAGCAGGCTGCCGTTAATGAGCTGAAAACGTCCGAGCTCAAGAAACAATTGATGCTGGATCAAGTCAATGAGTACTACAGGTCAAATCCGGATGGCTTTAATTATGCTCGTTTTTACTAATGTATGTTTAATTTATTTTGGTTCAATTAACTCTTCATCTTTTTCTAATTCTAAAATTAGAAAAAAAATGAAGAGGGAGTCGAATTGAAATTAAAGTTAATCTACATTGATAGAAACAGGTAATAATCAATTAAATTAATTAAATCCTCCGATTAAATTAATTTGACAGAATTTCTCACAGTAAAGTTTCCAATTACGCATATAAATCGTTATTCTTATAATTTAATTTTTCTTTTCATTTCTTGGACAAAAAATTAATCTTCAAAAAATTAATAAAATACAAATATTACGTAATCAGGTTAATTGGAATTTGATTGAAATCGCCCCGAGAAAGTAATTGCGTTTAAACCTATGGAATTCACAATATTCCCGACACAAGCGCCACAATACCAACTGGTCGTAGCTGAGTTTTGCGTTCTAAGAATAGTGTTTCGTTCATGTCTCATTCATCAGCTTGTCCCGTAGATTTGCCAAGTTTTCGATAGCCTTCAGATCCAGAGTATTTCGTATTGGAAAAATGCAACGATCGATTACGACGTTTTCGCGAAGCATCTCTGCGTTAAGGTATCGGAAGAATTCCGCAGTTTCAAAGTCGAACACTTAATCGATCGTTTTTAATTCATACCCGGCGTTTTTCCATCGCAAACATAGATATCGTCTTTATTCGCAGTAATATACTGACGTCTTCTTTTCGAATTTAGGAATATCTTATCTTCTCACACATAAATAGTCATGTATTTTTTCAGCATGGCACAGATCTGTGATATGACTTGAGTAGATGCGATATCAAAATTATGTAATAATTAGGTGGAAAGTATAGCTGACATAACCCCTGAATAATATTTCATTTCTAAGCTTTTTGCAAAATACAATGCAATTGCCAAAGCAGCAAAAGCTGCCGTTTCATTCATATAATTGTCATACCTTTAAATCCAGCAAGAAACTAAGGGCAAAAATCAAACATATTAAAGAATCTTGCAATGATTGTTCTTTCTGTTGAACGCAGCCATTAGCTGTGTTCAGTGGAAAAAACAGTTTTGCAACTGTGTAAAATTCTTGAATATGATTGATTTATACATTTAGATCTAATGAGAAACTAAGGGCAAGACCAATTACAATAAAATATTTTACAACAGTTGCAAAATTGTTTTTTCTGCTGAACGTAGCAGAACGTTGTTATATATGTTTAAAACGTACTTTGTTACAGTCAAGTGAGAATGGTTGGAGAACGTGGTTCAGGTGCTGGCAAGGGAGGAGGTGGTGGTGGTGCTGTTCGTGATGCTGGTGGTTCTTTCGGAAAGATGGAAGCTGCCCATGAGGACCAATACTTCTATAATCTGGTCAGTATATATTTCTTATTAATTGTTTATCATATCAACGATCTCATTTGTTTACACAAGTCTAAAATGTTATTTCAGCAAAAGGAACAGTTACAAAAGATGCGAGAGAGCTTGCACGATGAGATCTCATTCCACGAGGAACAGATCAAACGTCATCAGGAGGCTATTAACCGTCACAAAAAGCGTATTACAGACATGGAACAGAAAGAGTGAACGAAGTTATATTAGCGTGATACTCCGACTGATCGGCGGCTTTATTATTGGTTTTGATGTAAGAAAATAGTTCGAAAATAGTAGAACTGATAGAGTATCACAGTCTTCTGTATAAACTGTTACATTACATCGATATTAAATGTAATGCTCTTAATATATATGTTACTTAAATATTGAATGGTGTTTCCTTGTATATTGTATGGATCGCTTTAACGAGATTATCGACTTCGTACTTTGAAGTGTCAGCAAAACAATTATACTTGAAAATAAAACGTATTTTTATTGTTGCTTAACCTCTTCTTGGACATTGAGCCATTTTCGAGAGGCGCGTCAATTCTGATGCTAGTTTGTTTTGTCCGTTTCGTATAACCTCGTTAAATATTTTTCCGTTTAATAAATAGTCAAATTCGCGTTTATATAAAGTTCTATATAAAAATTTTTTTATCAATACCACAATGCTCCGACGTATTTTCAGAAAAACTTGCAGATATAGGTATTTAATTGAAAATGTATTTAATTCACTGATAATATATTCCACTGTGCTTTCCATGTTTTGGGTTATTTTCTTACGCTCCGATATGAAAAATAAACTATTCCTTCCAACTTTAGACATCTTAATGAAAGAAAGAAGCACGATTCGAAAATGGATACGTCGTTAGGTGACATTGCGTGTGAAACGGAATATTATTACAAGCAGGTGACGAAAATATTTTTGTAAAATGTCATTTTAGAGCAGTAGCCACGACATAGTAAGGTGTTACGTATAATCAGGACAGGAAATTGCTGAAAGTCGTCAAGCAAAAGACGCAGAACGAGGTGGAACACATGCAGAGAGAAGTGCAAATCATGAAGAACAAGATCGATGAATACAATCGCGGCATAAACGAGAATCTGAGATTTCTGAAGAGCCTAGAGAAAGATTTATCTGCTGGTGACAAGAAGACTTAGGCAAACGACTTCTATATAAATTCTAAAAAAAATTGCAAAATAAATATATGATGATTAATGAATCTATCGATATCCGTTATTCCGACGTATATAAATTTTCTAACATATTTATGTGTATATGAGAAAATATGCTGTACTAAATATGAGTTAAATAGTTTCTAAACCTTTTTTTTTAATGAATTTCGTTTATTAAATTTGTGAAATATTCTTAATTTACACAGTTACTACGTATTGCATAGAAATTTTAATGATCTTATATATACTTTCCAATATCTCGTAAAACAAATTTTTTAATATTTTTCAAATAATTTCAATTTTATATCGATTTTATATCGATAATAGGATTTTTAATTGCATTGATGAGACTTTTTAATTAAAATTATTATTAGTATCGCTATTAGCTTCCATACAACACAGAATTTGCAGCAATATCACTGCAAAATCTGCAATATTGTTGCAACATGTAATGTTGCAGCAGTGTTGCTGCAATTTTTATGCAACTTTGTACTGTAGGGGAGCATTATTGAATTGATCATAAAACTAATTTGAGATATTGATTTTAATTGAAATGGCGTTTCAAGTCCGAGAAAGAACCAGTCTATAAAACTGAAAAATGTAATTGCAAAAATTGGCATATGAATATTATTAAGTATTTAGATCTTATAAGAATAGGATCTTTGATCCTAGAGTTGTTATTTATAATTTGTCCTTATTTTTAAATCGTCTTAAGATGCTGATACGATTCTCTTGATTCACAATTTGAGATTGTACTTAGGATAGTCTTAAATTTAGAGGAATCGACTTAAAAATACTGGCTTACATTACAAATCCAGATGTGTATGTACAAAGTAAGCACAATATGTGTGTGTGTGTGTGTGTGTGTGTGAGATTATTGGCTTTCCATGTAAAAATAACATTACAATACTATACATTATAATGTGTAAATTCATTTTTGAATACAGTATAGTGTGTTATTTTTACAGTATAGTGTGTTATTTTTAGTGTTTATTTAGAAAACTCTAATAAACAATGACTCTCGTATATTGTAATAACGTTTTACACACTTGAATTAGGGGCGATTTAATAATCGGAGCGATTCGGATGAGCGTTTGTATTCGGCGGCAATGGGGAATGGGCGAGTAGCGCCGCGCTCTGACGGTGACTGCGATCGGTCGATGGCAGATGGCGCTGCGCGCGGGCGCGGCGCAGCGAGGCAGCATGGCGGCCAGTCGGGTCGGTCTGGTCGACGGTAGCGGGCGATCGTCGCGCCGCCCAGTGTCTCGCGGTTCATCGATCAGTGTGGTGTGTGTCGCGCGTTGTTGTTCCGGGAGATCTTTTTTTTCTCTCCCCTCTCCCTCGAGTGGTTCTCTCTTCTCTCTCGTCCGTTCCCGACGTTTATTACGAGTATACTGCCCTCGCGCCGTCATCTTACGCGGAACGTCGAAACGTTGAAACGTCGTCTCGCGCCTTTCACGTTCCCCGTCAAATTCGTGCGCGTGCATACGGGACGGGCGCCGGGCGAGCGGGGCCCATCGGGATCACGGGATAGAAAGATGCGACTAAGGATACGCTGGATACTTCTCCTTAGCACGGCTGCGGTGATTCTCGCGGGATGCGATGCCGCTACCGAGGTAAGTTTCCATCCATCAATCTCTCTCTCTCTCTCTCTTTCTCTCTCCCGAGAAAGAGAGAGAGAGAGAGAGAGAGAGAATTTCGACTGTCTCGAGTCGTAACACGCGGCCGCGATGCGGCACGATGGGCGAAAAGAGGGTGGAAGAGGAAGAGGCGGCTGGCTGTCTCTCCTCGCGTTTCGCGAGACGAGAGGGACGCGCGCTCTCCGTTTTTCCGTCTTTTCTTTCCTTTTCCCTCCTTTCCTTTCCTTTCATGCATATAACATCGCGAAGACACGCTCGTATACACGTATATATACGATTAAAGGTAAAAGCACACGCCTGCCTTTCCCTCCGTAGTGTTAAGTGTTACGCCGCTATTGAGGTACTCTCGCATTCTTGGCGTCTCGTCGAGCCAGTGGTGTTCAAATCGAGGCCCCCTGAAGTGCGTCGCTTTCGCTTTACTACTCACTTCGCGGTCTCTCTTTCTCGCGTCCGTTATTCTATTTTTCAGAAAAATAGAATCTTTTCCAAATTCAAATGGTTAAACAAATGCGTCTCCACTTTCGTCGATTTAAAAGGGCACGCGTGCCTGTTTACGATTCGAAAACAAAACACTTTTTTTCGGAGCAACCGTCCGTCTGTCAAAGGAGCGCGCCGGAGATCGAAGAATATGACACACTCTCTCCTTCCCCCGTCTTTCTCTCCGCGAATTCAAACTTTTATATTCCGATTGTAAGAAGACGCTTCACGCGCTAAAGATCGAGTTTACCTTCCCCCGATAGCGGCGTAACGAGGACGTCCGCGTTGTTGGCTCTGTTAATAGAAACTTTGGAAAGAATCGGGAGCAAGTTTGGCGCGCGCAATCTTGGCAATTCGTTAATGAGGAAAAGTGGATTTTGAAATTAATATTCGGTCTTCGAACAAACGAGCCGCGACAGATGCCAATTACGTCCTATCGTTTGTCTCTTGTTTATGTTTTTATCGTTAAAATTCTCGCGGCCGTTCGTTAATTAGTGAGCGAGAATATTCTATATTGTAACTCGCGCCGTGCACGCTTTTTGCATTACGCGGAATAATGGCCGTTCTAATGACGGTGGCAGCGTAATTCGACGGCGGCAAATACGAGAGCAAAATATTTTGTAACGTTCTGTCGCAGCGTTGGGGGATCTTTTTTCCTTTTTTTTTTTTCACGCTACGCGTTGGCTAATGGCTATATAGCGTAGCAATTTATAAAGGCACCCGCGGTATCGGTTGAACAAGATATTCGACCAGTTTTATCGTCACGTTACGTTACGTTACGATACTTTACCCTCTCGCGTAAAAAGCATTTTGTCGAAAAACAGGAGGAGCAACAAAAATAAAAACGGAGCACCGCGTTAGATTTTATTGTGTGCGAAGTGACGGAGGGAGAAAGAGGGCGAAGTCGATCCTGGAGCGCATCACTCGCGTATCGCAACGGAAAAACAGCTTTAGGGTAACCGGCGGATGGATCGAGAGAGAGAGAGAGAGAGAGAGAGAGTGCAAGGGCGTAACGTGCTAAATTTCGTGACCGCGAGGCATAAAGCTCGTGTTACGATATTTGCCTCGGCTCTTCGATATTCCGACCTTTCGCCCGAGAATATTTCGAACCGCTTCTCGGTCGTCGAATAATTAAAATCACTAGAAAAATTCGCATATCTCGGATTACGTTCGGATTCCCTCGAGGCGCGGAGGGCTCCTTCCTCTCTCCGTCATGTTGAAAAAAATATTGTCCCGTGAAAAACGCGAGAAATTCGGCGCGAATACATTTCGGAGAGAAAGCAGCAGTCTCTCTCTTTATTTCTCTCCCCCTCTCTCTCTTTCTGTCTCGAGCCGAACATAAATCCCATACACCGCGCTTACACGGAGCGTAGTTACATTTTACAATTGCGCGAGGACCTTTAATGCAAGCGGCGGAAGGAGAAGAACAGTGGAGAGGAGAGAAGAGGAGGAGGGGAGAAGGGCTGCGTCCCGAAAGGCCGGCTGGTTTTAGCGGCCGATGAAATATCGCCGGTAATAATCTCGCTGTCTTCGCGCGGAAAATGCATACCTCGGTGCCGCGGGTCGCCTCGTCGCCACACCGCTTAACTGTAAGAGGAGCTTATAAATATTCTCTCGTATCGCTGCCATGCCGTCGCTGCCGCCGCCGCCGCCGCCGCCATCTCCGTCATGGCTCTTTAGTCGAGAAAAAGAGTCGTTTCTTAATAGCGCGAAAACCTCGTTATCGATGCGCTTCATCAAGCTGGCCGAAAACTCTCTTATATATATATATAGGTATCCTTCGCGAAATCTTTTCCCGTGCAATTATTTTACATTAACGCGACGCATTTACACGCATTCAATATCGAACGCTGCGAGACACATTCTCTCGGCGCGAAATCCTCCATTTGTTTTTCATGAATCTTCGGATCGCGAATAGGTATGCGAGTGTGCGCGCGCGCTTTAAATTGCTCTGCCAAACAAAGAAATGTCAATAGGTGACTATGGGCTTGTTCCGTGAATCCCCCGTTTCTTGTTATCGGAGAATGGATATACGAATAGCGGACGTCCGTACGCGGTAAATAAAACTTCGCTCGGCGAAGCTGAAAGCAACGATCAGCTGCTGACGGGGTAGGTTTAATTTCGCGTACGCCGCGGTACTCGCCTGCCGCCCGTATTATTTCAAGAAAGGCCGGGAGCCGCGCGCGCGAACGATTTCTTTTTGGAAATCTCGCCCTCTTCGCCGGAAGCAGCGCACAGAATGTCTGACGACGAACAATTCACGAATGATGGACATTAATGGCCTTTTACGGCGACGCCTGACCCGTCCGTCGTTAGATCGTGTCTTGTGGCTGGTACTGTACGTATATACTGCTTGAGTTATGTACCATATGCATGTGTGTGTGTGTGTGTGTGTGTGTGAAGAGAACGAGAGCAGGTCTTTCGATACGACGGTGTGAACCGGTGATGTAAGTGTTCGCTCCTTTTCTCCGCGTCGCGTATATACGAGTCGATAATTGATAGACAACGACGTCGCGTCGTCGACTTGGCTCTCTCTCTCTCTCTCTCTCTCTCTGCGAGGAAGGTATTAAGTTCGATTAATATCGTAACGCAGTATAGAGACAGTAACGTCGGGAAATTGCGAGCAATTGAGCGTCAAGTGAGTTGTCGCGGTATCGATATATTGACGCGAGCCTTGGAAGGATTTGATTGCGCACATTTCGTTAATTCGTTATTCATCCGCCAATATATCGCAGATAAAACACTAGGTTGCGATTAATATGCAGCTGGATGTGCCTAGCCTCATTCATTTCGCCGGCGCGACTCCACGGTCGAACTTGTTGTTCCGTTTGCCGATACGCGAGTAAATCGAGACGGATTCTACATATTTACCTTGGCGAACCGCGTTGTGTTCCCACCTCCAATTATATGGTAT